TTGCTAAAGAATCGGTGCTGATTGATCAATCAGCTGGAAGACTGTCGATTTAAAGGATGATTCAACGAGATAGACCGTAACACAAAATATTTGTACCAATTCATTCCTAATAACAAATAAGAATTCTTTAATTCGAAAACATTCAAGGAATATTTCTAGAAAATTCAATTTCTCTTCAATTAAAAAATTCCACGATAGACAGTAACATGAAAATATTCACACAAGTGCAAATTGACGTTGACAATTAACGTATTAATTTTCAATTGCTAATTTGTATCCAATGAAAATGTGAAAAAATGCAATTTTCATTGAATTCGCGACGTACAAGTGTTCTCGAACGATTAGGAACATTCAGAATGGCCAGTCCAAGGGAAAAAGGGTATCGATCACAGACGAGGAGACGCGTTAACACTGTTCCAGCGCGGCGCGTTCACGTGGGCGGCGACAATGGCCTATTTCAGCGACAGAAATATTCGAACGCGGCTGCCACGAGCAAATGCGTTCAAATTGGACGACTGTTGGTAACATTTCTACCGGATAAATTGTTGTCAACGATCGACAGCTAAGGCTGCTTTAAGTACTCGAAGAGAAATTAATTTCAATTTAGTTTCCATTACAAACACTACGTTATTGGTAGATCAATAACAAATTCTTAAAAAGAAGAAATCGAGTCGTGAAAGGGTTAATGTAAAAAAGATATTTAGTTGATTCTGCATTGAACAGCGTTCCCCTTTAAGGACAACGTGTAACGAATTCTTGGAATTGTAGATAAATTCTGTGAATCGACTACTACTATTACCTAGCGCATCCCATTACAAGGGTTGCGGTTTATGAGAATCTACCCTTCAAAATTCAGGATAGAATGAATCGTGCCTGCATCTCAGATATTCCTGCTAATTATACAAGATACCATTTTTTGCAGACTATCTGAATATAAGTGTATAACACACGTGGACGACTTTACGCATTTCTAATAAAATTTTATGGCCACTTAAAAAATAATCTTCAATTCGCTTTTAAGGTTAAGTTACGTTACGGCTTCGTCCTTGTTAGTTGATCGTGCTTTTGAAATATTTTGCTACTTTGCAATTTCTTCCGTTGTACATATATTTAGGTACGTTTTGAAAACAAAGAATTGAAGTTTACTTTACCTTTTTATTGCACGTTTAATCATGGAAACAATACGTTTATTTTATATGGAGATACTTTTTCGTGAGAGTGAAGTAATAAAGTACTTTTCTATAAATGAAAAAGATAAAATAGAGATAACGTATGGTGTATAGATAGCATCAACCCTACTGAATACTTGAGTAGTATAATTGTTATAAACAGAATTTTTCTGATCAATTTTTATAGAGATTATATTTTAAAGGTTTGCAAGAGAAATTCTATTTAACTATCATGTTCAAAACAGCCAGCATCTACAACATAAAGATAGGAGGCAAAAGAAAGTAGAATAATCGAAAATTATTGGGATTTTAGCACCGATTTCAGTGACCTTGAAATATTTTGGCAAGGCTGTCATTTTGTTTCTATAAACAACAGTACGATGGCTGCCAACCAATATATACATATATAAATTGATTTTACATATGATCAATATAAATGTATACATATAACATTATATGAACTTAAAGATCAAACTTAACCGATTTCAATGATTTTGGATTTGAGCATGTAGGGTCGGCTACTCGAGCAGGAAGATGTTGAGTTTTAAATTTCCCCAAATTTAAAACACCAGGTAAATGTGCAAAGTATTTTGTTTGATTTTTTTGTTCGACGCGTTCGTTAATGATCATTGTTGCTTAATGGCCACGTTGCAATTGTCAAATGAATCCGTTAATGATCAACTAATAATACCGACGACCGTATTAATCGGTAACCGGTTAAATTTATTTTTCTTAATTTCACGTTGTTCTGCAATAAGGATGCTAAATGCTAAGAGAGTAAGCAAATAAAGCGAAACGTAACTCAAACATAACGTAAACCTACAGAATAATGATACCCAACATTGAAAGTAGTTTTGCGTATATCTTAAAAATTGAAGAAGTCCGGCGGTAACATGTATAGGAAAAAGTTGTTTAGAATGTTGACCTTGACAACATATTTCAAGGTCATATTGAAATCGGTGCTGAGGACTATATTCCCAATAATTACTGAATTTGCTGTCTAACCTAATATTTTGGTTTACCACTAATTTATGACTGGAGGCGTAATAAGTATGTATATATTTACGAGGGTACGAACTATGCACGTGTATTACGACTGTCCTTCGTACACCTTGCACCTTTAACCTGAAATGTAGCCACCCCTATGGCTGATAAACGTTACAGATAAACCCATTTAGTAGATCTTGCTTCCTATTTACTCTTTTGATACATCTGAATTTGTTCCATTATTACTTGAAGCATTCAGATATTCGAAAATTTCGCAAAATAAAAGGTTCTCAAATTTTACATTACACGATTCAAAAATTTACAAAGTTCTAGAGAGAAAAATAGAAGAAGGCATTGCTAGTTTCTTTTTCAAAATACTCTGAGAAATGCTCAAACAAAGTAGTGGACATTTTAACGAGGATTGTCAATTTTGGTAATGTATCGTTGTACCGAGAGAGATTATGCATATGGTTTTAGCATGACGAGGCTTCACCACATTATTCAATTAATGTGAGCCAACGTTTAAAGCGAACCTTAGGTAAGAGGTGAATCGGATGAGGTAGGTCCAGAATGGCCACCTCAATCACCTCGTTTGTATCCCCTGAATTTTTTTCCGTGGGGACACTTAAGCCTGGCGCCATTTGTTCTTTGTGATAACAATTTTCATGATATTGGAGTAGCCTGGATCGCGTGCGTTTATTAGGGGTGGTTTATGGTTTCGTGGAAGAGAGTAGAGGGGTGTAGAAGGGATGGTTTAATTGCAGAAATTGTGGATAATTGCCTGCAGGTGTTAATCGTCCACTTTCTTCGTTGTTTTGCATTCTTCGTATTGATCTTACAGTTTTATGTATTAATAGATCAAGTGTTATTGTTTTATATGGTTCATGTTTCGTCATATTTTTCCATTTTATCGATCTTATAGTTTTATGTATTAATAGATGAAGTGTACTTGTTTTATGTGGTTCTTGTTTGATCATGTTTTTCCACTTTTATACGACGTTCTAATTTAACTTTAATTCTTTTGAACAACAGTTTCTTTTAACGAGGGATTCTAAGTAATTCTTACGATGTATAAAATGTAGAATTTTTTTTTTTTTTTCAAAGATTTATCCAGATTTTTAGAAAGAAGGAATTGTGATAAAGTTAGCGTACGGTAAAATTGACTGCGATTAAAGCTAACAATTTATCAATGATTACGAACAATTCTTCTTTTTTTTTTTTATTTCTTGAGACTTCTGTAAAAAAGTACTTACACTAAAAGAAACAAAACTTCTATACCGCCCAATTTTCAATTTCTCAATACACCGACACAGAAATTCGTGAATAACTAAACAGTTACGAAAAGATCTATCGAAAATCTAGAATTATACTGATTTTCAATAATTCATTTGACTAGTACCTCACAAATACCAATTTCTACATTGTACAGGGTGCTTAAAAAAAAATTTGTACATATTTGTTTATTTTTGCAATTGATTGAAATGGCAACCATATTGTTTTGTGAAACAAAGAAGAACACTGTTTGGAATAATGATTCCCAAGACATATACGAAACATTTCAGTTCTTTTCCCGTAAAAAAAAGTTACTTCCATATAAGTATTTGCATTTTCTTTCAAATACCCTGTATAGTTGAATTAATCCTGGAAAATACACTATTTCACTGTGAATTCGAAGAACGTGTGCGTCAGAATAGAAAAGTGGGTCAACAAGGCATCCTACCAAACGTTTTCGTTTTCATTTTCGTCCGCATGTATCCAGCTGATCCGAATTAAGGGTACACGTGGCAGGTTTCCGCTTAGGGGTTGATTCATCGAAGGATCAATACACAGAACCGCCTGGCAACCAATGCCTTGCACCCCTCGCACGCTTTACCGACCCGAAATTCTATCATCGATCGTTGGACCGGTTTCTAGAAAACGGAACGTCTTTCTTCTTCTATTCTTCACTGTATTTCCGAGTTTTTATAATCGGAGGGTTTGAATTCGCCCTCTAAACAATGAATAGAGTGTTATTGTCACATGAAAGAACGTTGAACGACCCCGTGAGAAAGTTTTTTCGAGTACGAGGTTCTCAGACCGGAAGTGAAGGAACTTCTGCGGCTTCTCTGTGCTTTTCATAATGATTCAAAGAGAATAATATTGTGATTTTGGTAACTGTTTGAAAGAATTCCTTCTGGTACAGATTTATTAATAGACAGGTTATTGTTATACCGGGTGACGCATATAAAACCGGCAAAGGGCTGCACTATAGTAGTATTTGAGCACACGCCTGTTAGGCTGTATGCACATCGTTGGAAAGCGTACGAGTAGGGGAGTCCAACATGGGTGATCATTGCTACGGCAAATGTCCCAATCAGGAAATACGGATTAAAATGTATAAATCCGGCACTAGCTTAACTGAATCTTGTAATCCATTATTAATCTTATAATCTACTTAACTCAAGCCTTACTTAATCTTATACACATTAATACTACAGTAATATTGCAAACACATGATTAGTTGTATAAGGTCTGATTTCACGCCTAAAAATACGTAATGACAAATGTATCATACTTGTAAGTAAAATGATCTTTCCGCAAAAAGAATGTATTTTTTTCATTGTATTCTAATTTTACTTATATTTTCTGAAAGGAACATTTGAGGTAGCAATGACCATCGATGTTGGACTCCCCTACTCATGCGCTTACCAACGATGTATCATACGGTCCAATAGGCGTGGGCCCAAATACTATGTATAGTGCATCCCTTTGCCGGTTTTATATGCGTCACTCGGTATAACAATAACCTGTCTATTAATAAATCTGTACCAAGAGGAATTCTTTCAAACAATTACCAAAATCACAATATTATACTCGTCTGATACTATACTACTGCAGTACTATAGTGTTGCCCGGAAAAGTTCTAAAAATACTGACAAACGTGTAAATTAAGTTAAAGAAACTGTTCATTTACCATACTGAGTGCAGCTTAAATCTGCAGTACATTATTACGAAATAAAGTTATGAAACTATATTTGTATTTGAGACCGGGTTTATGTGCGTTACGCGGTGTTTATTAACACGTTGACTGCCAACCCTATTTTGAAGAAATCTGTTCTAGACGCCAACATTTTTTCTTTTCAATTTATTGTATAGAATTAAACAAACACATATTAATTTTTATATTATGACTTTAATTTTAATTGTTTTTTTTTTTTGCAAAAGAATGCTTTCGAAAATGTCTCCGAATAGGATGTAACTTCTGCCAGCAAACTGCCAACTACGAGTTATCTCGTAGCTTGGCAGTCAACGTGTTAATAAATCTCCGTGGAGATTTTGTAAAGGTTTTGCGAAATTCTTTCAGGAAGATTTGAATATTGTAAAATGGTGGATGAGTGGTGAGCTGCGTTGAAATAAGTGTTAAAATTTGCTGTCACTAAAATTATTACATGTAGATAACATTTAAAAACGAATTTAAGTAGATTTTATTATTATTTTATCCATTGTTAAGAATTTAAAATTCTTTCGAACGAATATCTTGCGAAAATTAAAGGATTGAATAAAAATCGTTCAGACCTTTGGTAAAATGTAATTTTAAATTATCAATGAAGTGAAATGGTTCTCAGAGAGGTCTGATAAGTTGAGAGATAAAGTGAAGTAAAGTGCTTTTGAAAGACGCCTTTGGTAATTGGTTTCCGACCTGTTACAGAGACGAGCGGCGGTACCACCGTCGAAGAAGTCCAGAACTGTGAAAACCTCGGACGCTGCATTTAGAAGTGCCTTAGATTCAGAACGAACGCAGACACGGTAATCAACCAATTTCCTCCTATCACTTCCACATCTATTTCTCGTTAAAATCATCGATAAGCATCAATTATATCGAATAGATTATATCGATATGAATTATCATATTACCAATTAACCGAGTTAATTTTTCAGAAAAAAATAAAATTTATCATTTAGTTTCAGTTCTTATGAATATGTATTATACGATATGTATAATGTATTTAATAATAGTGCAATCTGATGGAATAAATCATTACCTTTGACATATTAATAATTGAATTAATAAATTAATTTGTATTCCTCGGTGAATAGGTTATAATTCATTCTAAGCATCAGTTTTATCGTTTGATCTAATTGTTCCACTTCAAAGAACACGCGTTCTCGTTAT